ACCAGATGTCACGGTTTTTACTTCTGTAACTTTCTGCCTCTAACTGAACACCTTGGTTCCCAATAACGTTAAGTGCCCTTGCTACTTATCCCACAGAAGCCACACCAGAGCTTAAGAGGACAATGCAAGCATTATTACCACATCACAACAAAATGAAATGCATGATTTCTTTGCTGTCTGTTTGTCCTTGGGACACAGCCCCTGGGGGAGTGTTGGGTGCAGGGTGGTATTGTGGCTCAGAGTGTTAAGCTGCCTGATTGGCCAGCATCCCATGTGAGCTCTGGTTTGAGGGTTCGAGTCCCGGCTGCTCCACTTCCGATCCAGCTCCCTGCTAATGCACCTGGGAGAGCAGTGGAAGATGGCCCAGGTGCTTGGGCCCCTGTACCCACATGGGAGACCCGGATGAAGCTCCTGGCTCCTGCCATTTGGGGAGTGGAGCAGCAGATGGAAGATTCTCTCTCTCTCTCTAACTCTGCCTTGCGTATAAATAAATAAATACATCGTAAACGACTGCACCCCCAGGACCTGAGCAGAGGACCACCATGTTGAAGGGTGGCTGGTGTAATTCTCTCCTCTGCGCGCCCACCTGACCAACCCGAGGCACTATGAGGTCCATATGTTCCTGTTGGGTTTTTCTATTTAATTTTCTTTATGATTCGTAACGCAGCTCCATGTCCCCCGAAGCCAAGGCCGTGTAACAGGAAGCGTTCGCAAACACGACCCCATCGCCACTCTGCTCACTCGGTTCTGCCCTCCCTGGCTGGCAGCTGGTTTTTTTTTTTTTTTAATTTTTTAAAATTTTTTATTTTTGACAGGCAGAGTGGACAGTGAGAGGGAGAGAGACAGAGAGAAAGGTCTTCCTTTTCCGTTGGTTTACCCTCCAATGGCTGCTGCAGCTGGTGTATCGCGCTGATCCGAAGCCAGGAGCCAGGTGCTTCTCCTGGTCTCCCATGGGGTGCAGGGCCCAAGCACTTGGCCCATCCTCCACTGCCTTCCCGGGCCACAGCAGAGAGCCGGACAGGAAGAGGAGGGACCGGGACTAGAACCCGGTGTGCTGGCGCCGCAGGTGGAAGATTAGCCTAGTGAGCTGCGGCGCCGGCCCTGGCAGCTGTTTTAATTGATTTTTTTTCCTGCCGGTTGAGTTTCCCGGCAAATACAAAGCACACGTCTGTATGTTACTGTTACCCTTCCTGCTCACACAGAGCCAGCATGCCGTACCCAGGGCTCTGCGCTGGGCACTGTGTGACATCACACGGGAACGCCCGTGTCTGGGGACCGAGGGCTACAGAACACCTCGTCACGCGTGTGCCACAGCCCCTCACACCGGCTCCTGCTCGTGGGCACTGAGGTTGTTTTCAATTAAAGGTCAAATCCACCAACCTCGTCACGTAAAATTCCACGGGATGGAGCGAGGACAGAAAGCCTGAGATCCACGTTGTCTTCTTGCCTGTGTAACACGGCCCCCCCCGCCTCGCCCAGCCCTGCCTCAACTGTTGGCACACCGCGGTCTGAGGATCCAGCTGTCAGCCTGAGCTCTCCCACTCCTCCCAAGCTCTCTCGCCGCCCCTAACTCAGTGGCTCAGCCTCAGAGGCCAGCCTCCGCTCGACCCCTCCCAGCTCACACTGCTGGCTCCAAGGACCCTTAGGTCTAGCCCAAGCTCCCCCTCTACCTTGGGAGCCCCTTCCTGCTGCCCCGCACCGCAGAAGCCACTGGTCTGTAAGGGACGGGCTCTCTCTGCCCTGCATTCACAGGGAGCAAGCCCCTCCCAGCTTATTTGAATAAACCTGGTCTGGGTGTGGCTTCAGTCTCTCTCCGCTTTCCTTGCACCATGTCTGTGCCAACATAACTTTGGGGCAGATCCCTAGAATTGGTGCATCTGAGTTAAGAGCGAATTCTGTATAATTTTGCAGGAAATCACCGAAGTCCTCCACACAGGGCCGTGCTGCTTTATCAATGGGCCGCGTGTGAGATGGCTTCCCCAGTGGAGAATGCTCATGGGGGACGTGTGGCATGTCACGCGGCTTCCCTTTGCACGTGTTATGAATGAAGTCGATCTTTTTTTTGTATCATTAAAAAAAAAAAAAGATTTGCCTATTTTAAAAATTTATTTGACAGAGTTAAGACAGTGAGAGAGACAGAAAGAAAGGTCTTCCATTGGTTCAACCCCCCAAATGGTTGTCACGGCTGGAGCTACGCCGATCTGAAGCCAGGAGCTGGGTGCTTCCTCCTGGTCTCCCATGGGGTGCAGGGGCCCAAGCACTTGGGCCATCCTCCACTGCCCTCCCGGGCCACAGCAGAGAGCTGGACTGGAAGAGGAGCAGCCAGGACTAAACCCGGCGCCCATATGGGATGCCGGTGCTGCAGGCGGAGGATTAACCAAGTGAGCCACGGCACTGGCCCCTATTTGCCTATTTTAAAGGGAGAGAGAGCGAGCGAGCGAGCGAGAGTGAGGGCGAGAGACAGTGATAATTATAGAAAGTGTCAGTTTTTTAAAAAAAATATTTACTTAGGGGCAGAATTACAGACAGAGAGATGGAGAGACAGAGAGAGAGGTCTTCCATCTGCTGGTTCACTCCCCAAATGGCCACACGGCCTGAGCTGGGCTGATCCAAAGCCAGGAGCCAGGAGCTTCTTCCAGGTCTCCCACGCGGGTGCAGGGGCCCAAGCACTTGGGCCATCCTCCACTGCTTTCCCAGGCCACAGCAGAGAGCTGGATTGGAAGTGGAGCAGCTGGGACTTGAACAGCACCCATATGGGATGCTGGCACTGCAGGAGACGGCTTGACCTAGTAAGCAGAGCGCCAGCCCTGGCCATCTGTTCTTAAGGGAGGCCTCTTTGCTGCCCTCCTCTTCCTGAGTGCCTGAGTGCTTTCTGTAGTTTATACCCTACATCTCAGGGTTGGCGCTGTGGCACAGTGGGTAGAGCCACCGCCTGCAGTGCTGGCATCCCATACAGCCACGGGTTCGAGTCCCAGCTGCTCCACTTCCGATCTGCTCTCTGCTATGGCCTGGGAAAGCAGTAGAAGATGGCCCAAGTGCTTGGGCCTCTACACTCGTGTGGGAGATCCGGAGGAAGTTCCTGGCTCCTGGCTTCAGATCAGCACAGCTCCAGCCATTGCGGCCAACTGGGGAGTGAACCAGCAGATGGAAGACCTCTCTCTCTCTCTCTCTCTCTCTCTCTCTCTCTCTCTCTGCCTCTCCTTCTCTCTCTGTGTAACTCTTTCAAGTAAATAAATAAATCTTTAAAAAAATTATTTATTTGAAAGGCAGAGATTGGGGGAGACCAAGGAAGACTGTGCATGGCTGGCTCACTCCTCAAATGGCTGTTGAAGCCAGGAGCCCCATCCGGGTCTCCCACGTGGGTGCAGGGGCCCAAGCAGGTGGGCCACCTGCTGATGCTTTCCCAGGCGCACCAGCAGGGAGCAGGACGGGAAGCAGAGACGCTGGAACCTGGAGCCAGCACGGAGGGGGTGGGGTGGGGGGGGTGCGGTGCGGGTGTCACAGGTGCACCCTGCTCACTGCCTGCAGCTCCTCTTCCTGGGGTCCCCTGGGGAACCCCTCGCCTTGGCCTTCAGGGAGCCACACCCACACCCCGAGGCTTCCCAGCTCCTCCTGGGGCCTCCGGCTCAGGTAGGCAGCCACAGCCAGGCGGGACCCCGGCCCAGAAACAGCCCGTGGCAGCAGAGTGGGAGGGGTGTGGCGGGGGCTGGACAAGGGACCTCGGCAGTTCCGGGGCGCGCACCTAACCCGGACCAGAGCCCCACAACTTTCTACAGCCCCGCAAAGCAGCTTTCCGCGGTTTTCCGTTGTATTCGGCATCTTCGCCCCACTCGGAGGCCCCTCCGAGTGCAGGGGGCGCCCGGCGTCCGCGACTGCAGGGACCCCCGCCCGTCCCCCGCGGGGACCCCGTTCAGAGAGAGAGAGAGAGAGAGAGAGAGAACAAGAAGGGAAGTCACGGCTCCGTTTCTTCTCCCAAAGTGGTAGATAAGAAATCCCAGCCTGAATCCAACGGGGAGACGCCGCCGGGGTCCTGTCAGGCGCGCGGGAGAGACGCGGTGCCGCTCCGCGCGCCTCAGAGCCGCCGTTTAAAAGTCCCCCCCCCCAAAAAAGAAGGGTTCTGTGCGTGCACATGTGCATACAAAACTTGGCTCTCACCGAGAGCGCACGCCCACCCTAGCCCATCTCCGCGCGGGCCGGGCGCGCACCCGGCTTCCCGCCGGCTCTCAGGAGCCCAGGCAGCGCCAAGCAGGGCGGCCAGCGGTCCAGGGCCTCCTGGCCACGTCGCGAGGCGCCCACCAGGCCGCAGGGACCCACGCGGGCAGCCCCCCCGGTCCCGCGCGGGGGCCGCCAGTGCCTCGCTTCCCCGCAGTCCCTGCGCCCGCCAGCAGGGGGAGCCCGGCCTCCACGGTCCGGCCGCGTCCCGGCCCGCGCCGAGCCGCAGAGCGCGGCCGCCCGCCCGGCGCCACCACGGCTGCCCCCGCAACCCTGACCTCCCCTCGCGGCACCATTATCAGCGGCGGCGGCCCGCGGGGCTCGGCCCGGAGCCCGCAGCCGCCCCTACCCCGCCCCGCTGCCCTGGGTGCCCGCCTCCACCCCGGCGCCAGCCGTCCCAGGGGCCCGGTCCGTCCCTGGGCGCGCTCCGCAGGGCTTTCCCCCGCGCGGCGCGGCCTGCGCGCAGGTGGACCGGCCGTTTACTCCCTTCCCCGCTCGAAACCCGGCCGCGGGAATCCGGCCCCAGGGCCTCGCCTCCCGCTCCCAGGTGAGCCGCAGGGGCCGGGGCCCGCGCCGGCAAGCGCCCCCGGCCCCAGGGCGCTCCTCCCAGGTTCCCAGCCGGCCCGACCCCTTGCCCGACGCCGGGCTCCGGCTCCCCGCCCGGGACCCCGGGTGCCGACGTCAGACGCGCGGTGCGCTCCCCGCACAGCCCCCGCGGACTCACACTCGCGCGTGTCCGGTTGGCTCAGGGCAGCGCTCAGGGCCCGAAATAACGCAGGCGGCACGGCTCGGCCAGCGCGCTCGGTTTATTTCGTATAAAACGGTGAAGTTGACAAGCAAACTTTTATAAAAAGTTCAGCCTGAACGAGTCCGTCGTCACGCGGTGTGCGTCTGCCGCTGTACAGGGAGGCTCGCCCCATATATATATATATGTATAGACGTATAATTTATATATAAATATGTACACGGCGCCCAGGGGCACTTCTGGCTTCGGCGACCGCCTGGGGGTTTTATTCACGCTCCACCTCTGCAGAAAGGCAAAGTCTGCTGCGACCCGGCGACCGCCTGCGACTTCCACGTGCTCGCGCCCACAGCGCGCGCGGGACCCAGGGAACCGCCATCCACCCGCACGCGAGGCGCCCGCGTCTCCCAGGAACCAGAGTCGCAGCGCAGGCCGAGGACACGCGCGGACGACGGCGTTCCTCCGTCTCCGTCCATTTTAAAAATTTTTTAAAAAAATTTTTTCCCCTTTTGCAAAAGGTCCATTCGACGTGTCCGCTTCGCCTTCCAAGGTCCTGTGCGTTTGTTGGTGTTTTGTTGTTGTGCAAAGAGAAAAAATAAAAAAAATACCAAGCCAGGGGCACCTGCAGGAGGAGAGAGAGGCACAGCTGAGGCGCGGCGGGCAGGTGCGCGAGCGGAAACACGCGGGGCTCCTCGCGGCCCCGCACGGGCAGCCCCCGGCCACCTTCCCCGCAAGTGCGCCCGCGGGCCGGCGCGGACACGCACGCCCCGCGGGGCGCTCCCGCACCGCACACTCACCGCCCGCTCAGCCACAGAGCGCCTTGCTGTCGCTCGGCAGGAACTCGGACGCCTGGGGAGGAAGACGAAGCAGGCCCCGCGTCAGCCCGGGGAGACCGCACGCACGCACGCCCCCCGCCCGCGCCCGCGGCGCCGGCCGGCTCACCTGCAGGGACAGGATGCTGATGTCCGTGTTGAGCGTGGTCAGCGGCGGCCGCGGGTGGTGCAGGCCGACCACGGCGGGCTGCGAGTCCAGCGCGAGCTGCAGGTCCAGGATGTAGTCGATGACGTGCTGCAGGATTTCCATTTTGCTGACCTTCCTGTCCTGCGGGATGCTGGGCACCAGCTCCTTGAGCTTGGAGTAGCAGTCGTTCATGTTGTAGAGCAGGCTCATGGGGTCGTCGGCCGGGGTCTTGCTGCGGGAGACGCCCAGGCCGTGCTCCGACACGCCGCTCTTCCGGACGGACCGCACCGGGCTGAAGGCTTTCATGCTGACCGCGGGGGAGGGAGAGGCCGGGCCGCCGCCTGCTCCGCGCGCAGCGCTCGGCAGAGTGGAGCCCGGGCCCCGCGCGCCGGCTTTTATACGCGCTCGCCGGCGCCGCACGCGCGGGCCTCCTCCCGTCCCCATTGGCGGAGGGCGGCGCGTCCATCAGGCCGAGCGGGCACCGCCATTGGCGGGCGCGGGCGCGGGGCGAGCGCTCGGTCCTTCCGCGTTGGCAGCCAATCCCCGCGGGGTGGGCGGGCCGGGCGCAGCTGCGGGGGTAAATAGAGTACAGTGCGCGCAGGCCGGGCGCGGGGCGCGGGGCAGCCCCCGCGCGCACCCGCACTGCTGGTGCCCAGCTCGGGCGGGTCGAGCCCCGCCGCCGTCCGGAGCCACAGCGACGCCGGCGAGTGGAACCCCACAGCGGGCGTTTCGGGGGAGAGTGGAGACGCGTGCAAGACGGGCTGCGTGTTCCCGGACAGGGCAGAGCTGCGGGACCAGAGGCCGAGGCCCGCCTCACGCACTCCGGCTGGGGGCGCTCGCCGGGGACTGGGCCCGCCCGCGCTGCGGGGTGCCCCGGCGGGAGCGGGCCGGCTGCGGGAGCCGCAGGGGTCTGCACATGGCGCGTCCCGCAGCGGACGGCTCTCGGACAGCCGGTGCCCGCCGTGGGCGAGGTTGGCGGTCTTGGCACGGGTACTGGACGCAACTTCATTTATTTGACTCGTTAAAAGAACTCCACGCTCGTAGTCTGATTAAAGTTCTCAGCCAGCCACGCACAGGGCTCCGCACCGGTCCCGCATCCGGAGGGAGCAAGGGGGCCGAGCCCAGCCTGGATGCAAAGCCCACGCGGGCGGCCACGGCGAGGGCCAGGCGGCCCCTGACCTCCACGGCCCCCAGGCCTGCTCGGCGCCCGCGGTGCGTGCCCGGAAGGGGCAGCGGGGCGGCCTCCCCGCCGGGACCCCGCCGGCAGCGCGCACCCGCACGCGGGGCCCTGCGGGCTCTGGCCGCCCCCTGGCTCCAGCCCTGGGAGGCGCCGCGCGTCTGTGCCGCGCAGGGACGGACTGTGTCCGGGCACTTCGGGCCCACGATGCAGTGCTCTGTGTACCACCACAGCCGCGTGAACACGCACCTTTGGGGCTGGCTCCGGCGCACGGACTCCGTGCGTGGAGGGCCCCGCCAGTCCCGAGCGCTCGTGCCCCTGCGCGGTAAGGCGGCTGCTTGCGGGGACCGCGGTCCGGGCCGCCTGGAGACCCTGCGGGACCCGGTTCTCCGGCCAGGCACCCGGCGCTGCTCATTTGAGGGGCAGTGCGGCGTTGCATGAGCTAAAGACCGAGTCACTAACCGGTCTGTCTCACAAGCCCAGCGCGGGAGCGTCTCCGCGGCGGGCGGGGAGGCGGTCACCCACCTCGCCGCCGGCGACTCGGCGGAGCTGGACTCGCGGGCGGGGGGAGGTGTGCGGGGCTTCCCGCGGGGACGCCCCCAGGTAAAGGCACAGCCCCGCTCTGGAAGCGTCCCGCCTGGCGCCGGCGCGTCGCGGTCGGCGGCAGCAGCAGCACTGGGGCCCCGGCCTCCCCGCAGTCCCGGCGTGGTGCCGCTGGGGCCGGCGGGGCGGGGGCCGAAGCCCCGGGCCCGCCCCGCACATCGGGCACGCCTGGGCGCACTCCCTTTCTGCCTCCCGGCTTGTTCTCGCCGCTGCGTCCCCGCCGCCCGTGACCCCCCGTGTGATCCCTGCCAGGTGATGAATGGGCCGCGGAGGCGCGCGGGCCGGGCCGCGGCGGGGCCGGAGCCGCAGCCCCGGAGCAGACTCCCCGGCGCCAGGCGCGTGACGCCGCCCATTCACGCGCCCCGCAGCCGTGTCCTCGCGGCGCCGCTCCGGCGGCTGCCATGGCAACCGCGCCGTCACTCAGCGCGCGCGCCCAGCCGATCCGCGCCGGCGGGGCCCGGGCGTCCCCGGCTCGCCCCTGCCCGGCCGCGGCCCGCGCGCACCTGCAGCCGGCGCGCGCCGCAAGTTTGGGGATCCGGGGGCCGGAAGGAGGACCCTGGAGGAAAGACCGGGGTGGGGGAGGAGGGAAGAAGCTCCCTTTTGCGAAAGGAGGCGCAATGGGGCCGAGAGGTTGCCAAAGCAAAAGGTTTCGCTTTATTTTATTTGCTTGTGCAACCGAAGCGTTCAGGGCGGGGCTGGCGCTAGGGAATGGGGAGGCGGTCACTGTCCCGGCGCGCGGCCACCCGGGATCTGGCTTTGACCCCGTGCTCTTGAAAGTGCCTGGGAAGACCCCCGCCCAGCCACCCCCACCCCCACCGGCCCACTGCAGCCCTCCTTGGAACCCCTGGAGGCTGCGCGAAAACCAGAACAGCTCCTTCTAGAGGGGCCCGCGCGCCGAGGCGAGAGGCGGCGCAGCGCGCGGCGCCCGGCCGGCCGGGCTCCCGCCCCCGTCTGCGTTTTGGGCCGGGACCATCCAGAGGCCAGAGACTCCGCGGTCGGCCCGCAGAGGCGTCCTCTCTGGGGAAAGCTGCAGTTAACAACCAGATGCCCGCGTTCCCGGACGGTTTCTGGCACGCAGACCCCCTGAGGGTGCCCTCTGCGGTTTCCTTTCGGGCGCAATTGTTTGTCCTCTGTCCCGCGCAGGAGTTGCGGGATCGGGAAGGTCCAGGAGGGCCCAGGCCCTGGGGAGGGGAGATGGGGGCGCGCACGGTGTTCCGGGCCCCTGTCCCCGCGCTGGGCAGTTTGTTGTGGTTTTCGAGGAAAGAGCATCTGGATTACATAAGGATCCGGGCTCCGGCGTGTTTATTTCATACCTTGGCAAGAGGGAGCCCTCGCCCTGAAACCAGATAACCGAATTTGGGTTTAAAACGGCCTCTGATGAGGAGCGACGCGAGGGAAAGGAAACAGGCGAAGCCACGAAAAGCAAACAAGGGGACTTTTATTTTTCTGCCTGCAGGCATCTCTGAAGCGCAGCCTGGCCGCCCGCACGTCTCGTGGCGCGCAGCAGGCCCCGCGCGCCTGCGCCCCGCCGGCTCCAGGGCGGGCCGAGTCCGGATCCCCTAGGAGGGACGTCCCCTTCGGCCTGCTTCGAAGCCAGCCGCGTCCGGAGGGGCCGGCTCGGGCCACCAGCGCGGCAGAGGCTTCGTCCCCAGCGCCGCGAACCGCCCCGATTTTCACAAAGGATTTTCCCGTGACTTTCGTTCCGGCCACCAAATTAAGACAGAACATTAACTTGGGCGAGAGATAAGGTCTTGGGAAACAGTCTCGGGCCGCCCTCGAGCTGGGGGGGCTGGCGTCGCTGAGTCTGCGCCGCCCCCGGCGCGCGTCGCGGGTGCGGCCGCCGCGGGGAGCCCGGGGCACCGGGGAGACCCCCGGCCGCGCGCCCCCGCCTGCCCCGCGGCGTCCGTGGGAATCAGCGCAGCCGGCCGCAAGGGCGGGCTTGTGCGGAGTCAGACCGCATCCTCAGAGCATCACGCGGCACCAGAGGCAAAGCCGGAGGCCCCGGGCTGCGAGTCCCTAACAAGAAACACATTGTGCGCCCTTTGCTTTCTTTCTTTTTCTTCTTTTTTTTTCCCCACTTTTTTGGCTCTGGCCGCGTTTGCGCGCCGGCACCGCCGCGGCGAGCCAAGTCCATGACTTCAGTGGGGAGGAACCCGCCCCGCCCCGCGCGCGCGCCCTGTGCCCTGGGCCCGGGCCCAGGCGTGCCCGGCGGTGCGCGTCCTGCGCCCTCCCCGGAGCCGGCCCAGGCGCCAGCCAGGTTGGCTGGTGGGGAACGCTGGTTTTTTTCAGGGGATGCTGGCGCCCTCACTTTCCTGGCTTCTCGCGTCTTCAGAGCCTTCGCTCCCAGATTCTGCCTCCTGCCCCATAAATATGCCCACGAATGGCCGCGCCCCCGTGGTCCGTGGCCGCGCTCACCTACGGTCCCGGCCACACTGTCCTCGCGCGTCTCTGTTGCTGTTCTCGAGCAAGGGGGCGAGACCGAAGGCTCCATCCTTGGGGAGGTAACCGCTGGGGACTCTGCCCGTGGCGGGGACTTGCTTGGTTCTCCTGTTGGAGCCGCCCCGGTCCACATCTTCCCACCCCACACGCCCACTGCCGCTGCGGACACCCGCGGCCACCTGCGTTTAAGGCGGGACCGTGGAGGAGAGGCCGGGCGTTTAACTAGCGTGCCAACCTTTCCCGACCAAGGATTGGCTCTTGCGCGGGCCCCGCACACTGCGCACTCCAGGAGCAGCCCCTGCCACGCGGTAGCGGTGTGCGGCGGTGTGGATGACCTGTTCCCACCTTGACGTCTCTTTCCGCTCCTGCGGGTCTGGATTGCCCAGGACCTGGCACTGGCCAGCCGGCTGCTGACCAAGGTCACCCGCTCTTGGGAGGCTTCGTCCACTCGTGGAAGCCACGTGTTCGTGCGCCTGGTTCCCGCGCCACCGCTCCAGGGTCTGCTTGTGCAGTGTTAGTGACCAGCGCAGCCCGGGAGCTGCTGCAGGTGGAGCGGCGGCCATCCCAGGAGGCCTCGGATAAACGAGTGACCTCCTGAATCAGCCTGTGGCTGTCATGCTGTTGGGTGACAGCGAGCCAGCTGGGGCCCTTTAAGGAGCCCTGGGCCTGCTGTTATGGCACAGGGGGCGTAGGAACGTCCATTACAGCGACCCACATTTTCCCTCCTTTGTTCTTCTTTGCTTCCCGGCCTTCCAATACCCTCAGCATTTCCTCTCATTGCATTCTTTAGACATTCTTTTGGGGCAGGTCTGCTGGTGACCCCTCCCGCCCCAGCGCGGAGGTTTATGGGTTACGTGTCCCGGATGCCTAAGTCTCTTCCAGCGCCTGGCCTGCGGAGGTCCCTTCGACGTCACAGTTTGCCTTTGCTGTGTCTTGGCGTGGGTTGTGGGGGTCTCCCCCCCCTTTCTTCCCCCAATCTTGGGGAATTCTCAGCCCCACCTCCTCGCTGCTCGCCTGCCTCCCAGAGCCTGCTGGCAGCTCTGGCCGTAGCTCCACAGGTCCCTGTCGCTCTGCGTTGGGATTCGCT